GGGGGGGGGGGGGGGGGGGGGGGGGGGACGCGGGCAGCGCCCACATTTTCACGGCACCCGACCATTGGCACGCATCCGGCCCTGGCCGGCCGGAGACAAGGGGGCGGGGGGGGCGCGCGTTGTTGCGCGGACGCCCTCTGGGGGGAGGCTGGCCGGAAGGCGGCCCGCAGCCCTGGCTCCGCGCTCGAGGCCCGGCGGCCTGGCCAGGCCAGGGAGCCAGGTGTCTGGTTAGTTGGCAGCTTTTCCGCCACCGCGCCGCCGCACGCCCGGCCAGAGCCGCCCGGGCGGGCAGCCCCCCCTGCCCGCCTGCCCAGCTGCTCGGCCAGGAGCCCGGTTTACCCTGGACCTGGGCCTGGCCCAGCGCGGGCATCGACGCTTGCGGCCTGGCCAGCGGCCAACCCCTTCGCCGCGGGTCGGGACTACGGGCGGTCGGGCGCAAGAATGTGGTCAGGAAGACATTTAGGATCGGCCCGTGATGTGCTCCGGCCCGTGGTGCCGGGCGCATGTGATACATCCCGGAGCACCTCCCGCCGTTGCTTCGATCGGCCCCGGCGCCCGCCGGAGGCCGCGGCCGGGCGACGAGGTGCGATGCGCGCGGGCTCCCCCCAATGAGTCGCTTCCCGCCGCCGCCGCTGCGCAAGGCGCCCGGAGGAGGGCCGGCAGTCGAGGGGCACGAGACGCCAGCGCGGGGTCGATCTTCCCCTTCCCCCGGTCCCCGGGGCAGGAGCATGGCTGCGGGCTGCGGGGCGCTCGATCCCTCCGCCCCTGGAGATGGGGTGGGGAGGGCATTTTGCCACGGCGCGTCCCTTCGGCAGAAGGGGGTCCCCACCGGGGCGCAGCCCGCATGATGGCCAATCACATCTCTCTCTCTCTCTGTCTTTCTTTCTTTCTCTTTCTCTCTCTCTCTCTCTCTCTTTCTCTCTCTCCCTGCCTCCGTCCCCCCTCACAATCCATATCACACGCACGCGCGGACATAGGCCGAAAGCATGGTCAATCCAATCGACCGGGCCAAGTTGGAGAGCATCCTCGCGGAGGATATCCCCACCAGCCCGGGGTTCCGGCTGAAAGGTGCGTCCCGGTGGCCGATCCCTGTGATGCGGGGCCTCCGCCCACCCGCCCGCCCGCCCGCCCGCCCGCCCGCCCGCCCTCCACCGGGCTGTGGCTGATCCGGCCCCTTGACTGACCCCGAGCCAGGCCGCGAGAAGCAGTACTGCTGCGGGTGCAGCCTGGACGTGACGCGCTCCATCAGCATCCGGTGCGCCGTGTGCGAGGATGTCGACCTGTGCGTCGAGTGCTTTGCCCTCGGGGCCGAGGTGGGCCTGCACCTGCGCGAGCATCCGTATCATGTGCTGGACACCCTGGACTATCCGCTGTTCACGGCGGACTGGTGGGCCGACGAGGAGATCGCCCTGCTGGAGGGCATCGAAAAGCACGGGCTCGGGAGTTGGTACGATGTGGCGGTCTTCATGGGGACCAAGACTCCGGAGGACATCGACGACCACTACAAGCGCATCTACCTGACCGGGCCCCAGGCGCCGATGCCGGTACGAGGGGCCGATATGCTGTGCAGGGGTGCCGGGGGCGAATCCATCCTGCGTGGTGTGCATGCGCTGACTTCCTTTCCATTTGGCTGTCCATCTTTGGGGGGGGGGGGGGGGACGTGCTGCCGTGGTTCCTGGTCCCTGGTTGCTGGCCCGCCCTGGTCGCTCCCTCTTGCGGTCCCGGGGATCCGGTCCACCAAGCGCACCGACATCCCGATCGACCCGGTCGAGGAGCATGAGTATCGGCGGAAGCGCCTGGCGCTGGCTCGCGGCGCCGGCAGCCTCCCGGCGCCGGTCCTGCGCCACGAGAAGCCGGATCCCAGCGGCCCGGTGTGCCACGAGCTGCCGACCTACATGCCGCTGCGCGGGGAGTTTGAGGTCGAGCATGACAATGACGCCGAGCAGGCCATCACCAATCTCTTCTTCAATGATGAGGAGGACTCGCCGGAGGACATCGGTGCGTTTGCCCGGGGCGGGGCGGGGTTCCATTTTGGCTGGTGGCTCTGCGCGGCCCGCTGATCGGGATGAGTGGGAGGCTGTATGCTGGCTGACCGGGGACGATCTGTGCGCTCCTCCGGGCCGGGGCCGGGGCCGGGGCCATTGTCCGTGTGTTGCCTTTCTTTCCTTTCGCCCACCTGCCGGACATGTGCAGAGCTCAAGCTGAAGATGCTGGAAATCTACAACTACCGCCTCGCACGGCGGTATGAGAGGCGAAACTTCCTCCTCGAACGGGGCTTGGTGAACTTCAGCCTGGTGCGCTGCCTGCCGGTGTCCTCTTTCGCTCGCCCTCTGAGCATGCTTCGCGGTGCTCTGACTGACGCTGTTCTTCTTTTTTTTTCTTTTTTTTCCCTCGCCGGGGTGCGTGTCCCCCCCCCCTCTGGCAAACACACACACACACACATACACACATACAGTACCGGTCCGAGGAGAAGCACCGGTCCAAGGAAGAGCGAGATCTGATCAATCGATACAAGGTCTTCTCGAAGCTCCAGTCGCACGAGGACTTCATCCTCTTCGTTGAGGGTCTACTGAGTGCGTTCTCCGGCGGGGAGAGGGGGGGGGGGGGGGCCTGCCCTTTTTCTTTGCCCCCTGGCCGAACAGTCTGCTCCAGACGAGGCGAAGTTGCGCTGACACTCCGGCCGGGCGCGTCCGCCCGCCCACAGACGAGCACCGCATCCGCCAGCGCATCGCCCAGCTGCAGGAGTACCGCCAGGCGGGCATCCGAACCGAGGCCGCGGCGGCCACATACGAATTGGACAAGATTGCTCGCGTGCGCTGCTGCTGCTGCTGCTGCTGCCTACCTTGCCCTTTCTCTGTCTCTCTCCGCCTTTGCCTGCGACACATGGCTGTGTGCCTTCCCCTTGCCGCCGCCCGTTTGTGCTGACTCACCTCCCTTCCTTCGGCAGCATCACGACCCGGCCAATCGGGTTGTCAAGCCCGGATCGACGCTACTCATGTCCGGGGGACTGGGGCATGGGGGTGCCTCCGGGCCGGGCTCGGCCGGGCCGGGCGCCGGCGCCGTGTCATCCCGACAGTACCGCGCAGCGCGCGACCAACACCAGGTGCGTGTGCGACACCCGTGCCGCCATGGCACACCTTCTCTCCCCGGGGGCCCTCCCCACCACCAGGAGGAGCCGGACCCGGTGATCGATTGCTAACTGCCCCCCCGGCCCGGCAATCCCCCCGACCACACCGCGTGCGCATGCCCGCGTGCACTTGTGCGCGTGGACTTTCGACAGGGTGCTGCCCACCCACGCCGCCAGGGCCCGCTGGACATCACCCACTGCGAGGGGTTCCAGCTGCTGTCGGCCGAGGAGGCGCGGCTGTGCTCCTTCCTGCGGCTCCTGCCACGCGCGTATTTGACCCTGAAGGAGACCCTCCTGTCGGAGGCGAAGCTGGCCGGCGACAAGGACGGGGTGCTGACACTGGACCGGGCGCAGGCGCTGGTTGGTCTGGACCCGGACAAGGTGGAGGCGTGCTATCACTTTTTCCAGAAGGCCGGGTGGATAGGCCCGACGCGCCGGGTGCGCCCCCGCGACGACAGTGTCTGACGAGAGAGGCGCGGGAGGGAGGAAAAGGTAAAATGAAACCCCTCTGGCCCCATGTGTTTCACGGAGCGTCGTGCGCCTGCGTGTGTGTGTGTGTGTGTGTGTGTGTGTCCATTTTTGCTGCCGCGAACGGCGAGGGAGGAGCAGCGGCGGGGCTGCCGCGGCAAAAGAGAGAGGAGTGCGTCGACCGGGAATCGAACCCGGGTCTACCGCGTGGCAGGCGGCAATTCTACCACTAAACCATCGACGCTTGCTCCTCCTGGCCTTGCTGCGCGGTGGCCACATGAAGGCATTCCCGCTGGGAAGGGCTTGGGGGTCCGTTGCCCGCGCCGGTTGGCCCTCCCCTCTCTTGCCCTGTTGGTGGCGGACCAGGCAGGGCAGCAGGTCGGCAGCAAGACAGCGGCGAAGGCGTGCTGCTCTCGTGGCTCCGGGCGGCACACGGGGCCTGCTTTTGTTTTTGTTTGTTTTTTTTTCTCCCCCTCTTGTGCCCGAAGGAAAGGACACGGGGCAGGCATACGAAGCAGCTCGGAGGGGGGACAACCGCCCAGATCAGGGGCCGGCCTGGCACACCACGCCGTCTGCCAGGGAGGAGGCGGGCGACAGGCGAGCCGGAGGGCTTGCGGCGCACGCGACCAGGCGCGGGAAGGCCGACCAGACGAGAGCGACTGTGTTTATGTTATATATATATATTGAAGACTCGTTGGGGTGTGAAAATAGGAGGGAAGAGGCGGTCCCTCCTTTCCCTCGCGACGGACAAGAAAGACGGCCACGAGGGCGGCGAGAGGGGCGGCAGTCTGCTGGCTCACGCGCATGCAGGCGGGGAGGGGGGGGGGGAGGGGAGTAGCATGTGCGGATGCGCGTGCGTGTGAAAGGGCACACCTGGCGTGTGTGTCTGCGAACACCACGGGCGGTGCACCACACGGGGAAACGCCAGCACACACACACACACACACACACGCGCACACACACGCACACACACGCGTATATGCGCATATACGCGTGTATGTGCACATACCCGGGTCTCCGGCAGCGGGCGTGTCCCCGGCAACGTGACGAGGGTTCGCACCCCCTAGCAAAGAGTGCGCATAGGAGGGG